CAACTTTTGATCTACTGGAAGTTCCTAATATTCTTTCAAAATAAAAGCAGGTTTTTATCCAAAACAATCTCAGCTTAAGACAGTATAAAATACAAAATAAAAGCATACCAAAAAAGGATTAAAATGGAGATGACTCACAAACTATCTAATATAGATAAAAATATATTTCTACTACTTTATACTGAACACATAGCCTACATATATTGTCATCAGCGACACCAGGATGTACATCTGAGTTTGTTAGCTTAAAGAAAACACATAATGGAAAATACCATTAACATGCTAACAGAATTAGCATCAGGATCATTTTAACTTCAAAATAGTTCAAAGATGCTGCGTTCATTTCTCTGCATCGCTACACCTGAATCACTGGTTGAACCTTCACAACAAGAACTTCTAAACTCCATTCGATCTGCAGAGTCACTCTGCACCTTTAAGAAAAAGCTAAAGACCCAGCTCTTTCATGAATACATGACCTTAATGATGATGATGACGACGGTTTTGTTTGATAACGACGACTTTTAAGATGGTTTCTATACTGAGTAGAGCTCTCAAGAACTGCCCTCAATGTTGTGCTTTGCCTCTGGTCACTTCCTGTCAGCACCAGTGTGTCCAATCGGACTCAAAGCTGTTTGTTTGCACTTGCTGACATTGTTTCATTTTTTCTAGATCCTTGCTTGTGTTGTTTTAACTCTCTGATGTACGTCGCTTTGGATAAAAGCGTCTAAATGATCAGCAAATCAAAGTGTAAATGAGCTCCATTACTTTTAGAGTGTAAACGAGTGACAGAGGACTGTGCTTGTAAAAAAAAAATATGCCCATTTAAAGATATTGCATGTTTTTCTTGGGCTGTAACTATGAGGTTCGGTTGCTACTCCATCAAGATGTAAAACAATCTGTAAGTTTGTTGAAGAAACACCAGATCACCATGAAAAAATAAATATGGGGTTTCTCTTATTATGTTGCTGAGATTGTCAAAAAAAAAACACCAGTGATGATACAAGCTGTGAGCTGCTGTGGATAAAACACCAGTTCACTGTCATCAAACCTGTGGCTGTCACAGGGGAGTCTGTTGACGGTCTTTTATCAAGGCCTTCAGGGAGTCTGCTACTAAATGAGGATTATCTTAAACTCACTTTGTTGATCATAATTACTCCTTAATAACCATTCATCTCTCCGCCTTACAGCGCAAACAGTCGGTAATTAAACGCTCATAATAATAAATGTTTGTAGGACGGAGGAACCAGGGACAAAATAAAGAACCGTCTATATCTCTCACCTAATAATCCCACCAAAGGGAGGTTTAATCAGATGATCCTGTTGGCTGCTGAAGCAAGAAGAAATATCACACTGTGAGCATCTTTCCCACGATCGGAACAGGAGTTTTATCATTCAGCTCTGTGTGAGCAGACCACACATTCAATCAGCCATGCGGACGATCAATATGACCCAGTTTCTGCCTCAGCATCAGCAGAGACCCACCGCACACAGAGGTACAGTACAGCTTTATGGGGCCTTTTTTTTTTTACAGTCTGAGACAATAACTGGATGGTTAGAGCAGTCATCCCTCAGGAGCTTGTTAAAGCAACACAAACATGCTCGTGTGTTTTCTTTTCTCCATGAATGTCCTAAAGAAGCCTCTCTGCACAGCATCACCCCCCTGTACTCAGCACAGCTTCTCATTTTCTCTGTTCCTGCTGTTATTTTGAGCTTTTTCTCTGGAGGCATGATGCGTATGTGTGTGTGTTTGTTTGCAGTGTTTTTGTCTGCGTTCATTCCGGGTGAATAGAACACAGAGGAAAGGATGATGCTGATGTTAATAGAGGTGTGTGTGTGTACTCAGGGAGAGGAACAATCTGGAGGGGAATTGTTGGATTTAACGCAGACACAAAAGCTCAAACAATGATGTGCTGACATGTACACACAGCAAAAAAAAAAAAAACACTCTTGCACACTCACTTATGCACACAAAATCTCTCACATCCTCCCATAGTCTCTCATGCACTCTCTCTCTATCTCTCTTTCCCATCTCCATTAGTCGCTGTTCTCTGTGGATCTAGTTTGGACTCTAGCTCCATCTAGTGAGTAAAAGTCCTCATCAGCCCCTTCGAATGTGTGATTCAGGATCCCTATCCCAATGCCCCCCCCCACCCCCAAAGGCTTTAACAGCATCAGGCGTGCAGTGCGTGAATCTGTGTGGACTCGAGATGGTATAAAAAAAAAAAAGAAGAAGAATGGGAAACACTATCAGGACATCACACGGTGCCATGAAACAAGATGAGACATAAAAATAAATGTTTTTTAAAAAGGGCAACCTCCAGTGTGCATTTGTATTTCCTTCATAACAGAGTTTATCTATTCAAGCAAACTATTCAGAAAAAATATACTTTGTGAATATCTGATTGAAAAACACAAACAACTCTTCAAATGGGCTCTAAACCAGTTGTTGCCGACCTATTTTACTTATTGTCCCCCCTGCCATTCTTGAATATAAGAAAAGCCTGGACCCCCAAGGACCTAATCGGGAACATAAAGATGCATGGCTGACAAAAATCAACATCACTTTTCAATAGTTTTCACTGATACGATCCAAACAGAATAGAATACACACATTTGTTCTTACAAAAAGACCTTTGAATAAATGATCCAATAAGTGTTTTATCATGACCGCACCCCCCCCTGAGAACTTTGGCGCCATCCCAAAGGCAATGCCTTTAATGACATTTAAAGTGATAAACTACATATTTTGTCACTTAAACATATTTTAAAGATTAACAAATCACAATGCATGCTTGTTTTGTTTTCATTTATTTTTTAGGCAAAATCATTTTTTTAATTAATCACTTTTTGTTAATATTTAGCGAAGCTGAACAATGACGTCCTTTCACAACACCAAGCTGGCAATAAACTCCCGGCTATCTCCCACGGGAAATCCTGCACTAATGCTGACTCACTCTAATTTGCTGTTGTAAACTCTGCAACAAAGCTCTCACACAAATCACACTTTTGATGATTTAACATTGAGACGGCACTAAGCACTCATGTGCCGCAAAAATCTGTAAAGTCGTCGTCACATTTACACAACTAAAAAAAGTCAACTTTTCAGACAGGCGGTTCTTGAAACCTTTTCGAGTTGTTTATTCACATGTATGCACCTCAAAGAGCGAGGCTGCTTCTGTGGGACGGGAAGGGGAGGGTTCTCATGAGGAAATGACATGACATCAAAAAAAAAAAATGTGGGACAAGGAAATAGACTGACAACATGATGATTATTCAGCCTTCATATCAATGCTGTGAACAGTACGACATATTCACAGTGTGAAGGAAAGAGCAAAGCAGCAAAACATAAAACATAATGAAGCATGCCAGCCCACTTGAGGTGAATTTTCCTACTGTGTTTTCACATCGTAACATTTATGAAGGGGCTGGCAGGGAAAAGTGCAGTTTCAGGAGTTTTGAGCATACTGTATGTGAACAGAGAGAGTCTGTGAGTGTGAAAATTGGAAACTAGCCACTGTACATCAAGAAGCAGGGCTGCACCTCTGGGTTTTATCTATAAAGCCATGTGTACCAATAGTATACCTACAGACTAGTGCTGAAGTCAAGACCACACTCACCGAGACCAAAACATACCAGACCAGAGCGCTCCAAGACCGAGTCAAGACCAAGACCATAAATATAACTGAAAATCATCATCTTGTGTTCAGCAGGCATGTCCCTCACTTAGACCGTAACACTGGGAAGGCTGCGGACGCAAGCGGGGGACAAAAATCAAACTATATGAATTGAAGATATTAGTTCATTAATTATAAAGGGGCATTTTCCTTCTTATGACAGTGATGACGTGGGAAAATAGCCGATCAGTGGTGGTCTTGACGGGATTTGATTTAAAATGCAGAGTCTGCCCAGGCTGAGTAAAAATGCTTTTTAGTCCAAGACCAGACTGAGACCTTCAAAAAGGTCCCGAGACCAAGACTGATTTTGAATACTACAACACTACAGACGTTTCATTCTCCCTCATTCACACACTCATTTGACCTGATCTGTCCTCTCAAGGTGTTGTCAAATTTAGTTGCACATCCATCTGACTGAGGAGTGGACTGAGATGTATTCACACCTTCCACTCAGGATCTAACATGTTTCAATGTCATGCTGCATCTGTTCAGGCAGGACGACTCTTACCAAAGCTTTTAAATTGAACACATGTAAAAGGCAGATGGACTTGTAAAGTGCTTTTGTAGACGTATGACTCCTCAAAGCACTACATGTCACATTCAACCGTTCACTCACAAACTGCCATGCACGTTGCGTGCACAGGATTAGCTGAGTAGAGCAGAAACCGCGAGAGACAATGCAGCGAACACCATGTAACACTGGTAAATAATGTGTCACTCTGCTATACTGTAGTTAATCTGCATCACTCTCTGCATTTTTACTCAGTCTTGTCTCGGTCTCAGGCTGGGCGGACTCCAGGTTTTAAATAAAGACCGGTCAAGAACACCATTGACAGGCTATCTTTCCACGTCATTAACGTGATTAGAAGAAAATCGCCCTCTATAAAAGAACAATTAAAGAACAACTAACTCATTCATTATTTGATTTTTATCCCCCGATTACGTCCACAACTTTCCCTGTGTTGCTGTCTAAGTGAGTGACACGCCCCCTGCACTCAAGATGATGATTTTTAAGAGATATTTATGGTCTTGGTCTTGTCTCGGTCTCGGAGCACTCTGGTCTCGGTTAGTTTGGTCTTCACTACAACACTATAATATCCCTACAGAGAGAAGTGTCAGTGTTGAACAGTTGTGTGAATACATCCTGTCTGACTAGGGACCATATGTTTCCCCATGTGGCTGTAAACCACTGTGTCATTGTTGATCCAGTGGTTGTAATACAGCACAATAAAAGGGAAGACAAAGTGCAATACGAGTAGATAACGATCAAAAACGGTAAGAAGACCAGTGTTTTGTTTTTTTGGTCCTTGATCGCCTCCTGCAGTACGCAACAGTCAAGTATTACTGATATACAGCCAAAACTACCACTGACAGGTGAGTGCCACATAAAGGCTCACTCCACTGTGTTGTGTACAGAATGAAACTATTGGGCTCATGCATGAGAGTGTGTTTGTGTATGCATGTATTACCTCAACAGCGACTGTCCAGAATATAAGCTGCTGATCTGAATCCTGGAAGTAAGCCTTGACTTGTGGAGACATGCCGATCAGCGAACAGTTGGTGACCACAGCGATCACACTCATGGCCTCGAAGGCGAGCTGGACAGGGACACAAAGAGACGCAGAGGTCAGTGACTTTTTTTATAAAGAGTTATTGATCCTTGATCTTAATCGAATGTCACTAATAATAAAAGTAAAGAACCAGAGTACAGATACGAGAAAGAGGATTTTGGACCTCTGGATGTTATTAACAGTGTACTCTGATGACATGTGCGTCATTTGTTTTATCTTAAGTTGTTCTATTACATTTAAAAGTTTGCTTAGGTCTGCACTTTTAAAGTCACTGATCATTATTTAAACCTTTGATTATGTGAAAAAAAAACAAATTAACTGCAACCTTTGTGCCTGTTTTATTTATATATAAATAAACACAATGTATTTGTGCCCTAATGAAGCGCTCAGTGAAGACATCCCTCATCCAAACTATGCCCCATAACCCACCCTATGGCCCTCAGTTGCCACCAAAACATCGACATCTTCAACAGACCCAGGCTGTGTTGATGCGAGCTCCAGGTAGTGACAATGTCGATGTGACCTCCCCTACCACATGGGTATCAGTGAAAACTCGTTTAATCCATAAAATTGGCCAGAGGAAGTCAACGTGCTCGTTTTTTCTGTCTTCTCTGTCTCTTCTGTTCTTGCGCTGTCTTAATTGCACAATCATATCGTCAACACTTAGCAACAATTAGATTCCAATGTATTTTGAGAAGGTACTTTTAAAATCTAGACAGTGTGAAGGAGTTTGCTTGCAATTTGCATTAATAAGAAAAACAAAATAACCAATAATGGGCGCCTAGGACTTCTATTTTTATTGCTGTGGTATCGATGTCATTTAAATTTGACCAGGAACATATAATCCAAATAAATCTACTCTTCCCCTCTGTGATCCGTGATCACCTTGAAGGACCTCTTAATATGACACACCTGTTTCCTTTAACTCCTCCTTCTTCCTTGTGCATCTTGCTTCCTTGCCTCCTTCACTCACGTCTCATCTTGGTCGGACTGAGTCACAGGTGCGGGAGGTTCATTCATTTAGAAACTACAAATTGAAAAAAACGGGACGAGACCTTTGTTTGTCTCACCTGCCAGACTCCTATATTTGCTGCTGGGTCAGAGAAGGGTCGTTTGAACACAGAGCACATCTTGAAGGCATCGGAGTAAACCTCTGTGATGTTGTTCAACACCACCAGGACGGCAGCCAGAGGGTAGACACAGGAGAACAGACTGACGTAACCAAACAGCAGGAACAGCTCCAAGTAATCATCGAATGTGCCCTGAGAGAAGAAACACACACACACACACACACAAATGGAGACATGACACTCCTGTGTAAGTAAGAAAGTCTTGTTTGTTTGTCCTTTTTTCAGTGAAGAGACCCTCAGAACCCACCAGGTATGTGCTCATGTCGGCCTCCAGTCGGACCTGCTCGATCAGAGGCAGCTGTTTCTCGTCCAGAGTTTTTCTCTTCTGGACTTTGCGGGTCATCTTCTTGTTGCGTCTCCTCTGGAGCCAGTAGGGCAGAAAGGCCTCCATGAACTGATTCAAGATCTGACTGGTGATCAACAGAGTGGCCAGACTCTGGACAAAGGATGGAACGAGAGATGAAAAATAAAGCAAGGGAGAAGGTTGGTTACATGGAAAATGACAGTGAATAAGAGAAGAGAAAGAAAAAAAAATCCACAAAGAAAGATAAGTAGGGATGGAGGAAGAGGGGTAATAGAATCATTCAGGTGCTTTTCCCTGCCCCCCTAATATTGTTTTTCCATAAATTACCTCACGTGTGTGTGTGTCTGTGTATGTATGTGTGTGTGTGTGTCTACACAAGAAAGTTTGAATGGCCAATCATGTGGATGCAGGCTAAAGCAATATACAGAAACTATTCCAAAATATTTTTAACCTAAAAATAGGTTTAAAAAATATCTTGTATTGGTCCAACTATAAGAAGAGGTTGTTTTCCCTCAAGTACTTTGGAAATAATATAGCCTCCATATAGGGGGTGTGACCTGACCACTAGGCCAGTGGTTCTCAAACATTTCACAATGAGTACTACCACATCAAATATTTGTACTCTCTAAATACCACCATTATGGCCAACATTGAAATACAGTAGCATAGGGCTATTTATCTACATATACAGTTTACACAGGAGGCCATTTTATTTCTGATATGCATATTATTTATTATTGACCGCACATCACGCACTGCAGGGGGGGTTGCTGTATATTCAGGGTCGCCTTTGGACCAATAAGGTTCATGTATTACAAAACTTCATATCTTAGCAAAGAGATTTGTCAAATGTGACTATACCTAAATTAAGCCCCATGCACCTGACAAGTCCAGATAAACACTTTTTTTTCAATACATTTAAAGCAAAGAAAAAGGCCTAAATTGCTTGTATTGAGTTTTTTGAAAAGTTGCCAATGCAGCAAGCAAAAAGTACTTGTTGCGTGTTTTTTAAGCTTCTTGAAATGACATAATAATCCTACCTTCAAAGGCCTTCTTTTTGCTGGTAATGTCTTGAAACAAGATGTGTATCTAGACTTGTCAGGAGTACAGGATGTCGCTTCTATTCAGTGGAATTACTTTGCTAAGATATGTGTTTTTGCAGTGTATACGGGGGCAAAGACTTTAACAAAATACATAAATTCTGCATTTTTTTGAATAAGTGTGGGAAATCAAACAGGCCTACCTGTCTGAGCAACGCCATGTCATGCATGACAAAGGCGATGTAGAACAGCGAGGCGAAACAGTTGAAGAAGTTGAACTGTGGGTAAAAAAATAGAGACAAGTAATGATGCATGACTTGAAACGCTTCACTGATCATTGAAGGGTGAGATTGTTGATGTAACAGAAACATTTAAATGACATGTATACTCACTACTAAAACTTTAAGGACCAAATGATTCTGATATGAAGACTCCAGCCTGTGGTTCTCTAAAAACACACAGAGGAGAGAACAGATGAGGAGGATATTACCAATGTAGCTGCAGCGTTTTCCATTCTAACCACATTTTATAAAATACATTCAAGTCTACAATCCATCACGAGCAACCTGCATTCAACTCTGTATTCATGTAGAGTTGGAATAATCAGAAAATTCTGACTCCTCAAGGCAGTCCTCAAGGCCCCTTACCAAGTCCAGTTGCCTTTTTTTCATCAAGACTTGAGCAAAGTGTTTTAGAGAGGTTTTGACACAATCAAAGTCATTGAAGATGTTTAGGGGTGGCTGTGTCTCAGTTGGTAGAGTCGGTTGTCTCTCATCAGGAAGGTTGAGGGTTCAATCCCCAGCTCCTGAAGCCACATGTCGGATGTGTGCCTGGGCAAGTCACTTAACCCCGAACTGTTCCCGCTGCTTCGTCGGTGGGGTATGAGTGTTCATGAATGGGATAAGTTACTTCTAATGGACACTTCAGCCTCTACCATCAATGTGTGAATGTGTAGCTGTGACATGTGGTGTAAAAGTGCTTTGAGTAGTCAGAAGGCTAGAAAAGGGCTGTACAAGCTCAAGTCCATAATCATCCTGTCAGACAGAACAGCAAACTGTGTTTCTTTAGAATTAAGAGTTTTAGTTGATCATTCTATTGTTAACATTAAAAAAAATCTTCTGAGAGAGAGAAGGGGCAGAGGTAATGCAGACGAGCCAGAGGAAGTCTACGCATAGGGGCGGAGAAACAAAAACATCACTTGTTGGTTGGTCCTAATGTAAGTCAGTTCATCAGTGTGAAGTGTGTGAACAACACTGCTGACTACAGTCTCTATAAACAGATTGTTGCTGACTCACATTAACAGCTCCAGCTTCTTTAGTGCTCACTGATAAGCACACATCTGCTCGTCGCATGAATAAAACAAATGTATGTATATATATATAAATAAAGATAGCAGGTCCAACTTTTCTGTTTTACAATCGTTTCTTTCAGCTCACTGTTGAACAGCCACATCTTTTAATCCCCACACCTCCAGTGTGTAGCACAGTTCTGTTGTAGAAATATAGTACCTCTGAGACCCCCGACAGTGTCCTAAAGTTAGATGTTTTCTCAGACTTGTTTTCACAGAAAGAGTAGTTCTCATCGTGACTGGTAAAATGACTGAGATGTATAAATGACAAACACTTACTCTATGGGCTGAAACTTTCAAGCATGTTACATGTTGTCTTTATCAATCAGGTAGTGTGTTAGTACTTTAAATCGGTATTGGTTTCAAGACCGGTCTCGAGACCACTTTTTGAAGGTCTCGGAATCTAAAGCATTTTCAACCGGCTTTGTCTCGTTCTCAGACTGGGCAGACCACGGATTTTTAAATCAAGAGTGGTCAAGACAACCTCTGATAGGCTACTTTCCAAGTCATTACCGTGATTCAATTAAAATGCCTTTTTCTAACAGAATGAATAACTTCAATTGATTTGTAGTTGGATTTTTATCCCCCGGTTACGACCACAACCTTCCCGGTGTTATGGTGACACACTTCCTGAACACAAGATGATGGTTTATCAGTGATATTTATGGTCTTGGTCTTGTCTCGGGCTTTCCCTGTCTTGGTCTCAACTCAGTCTCTATCTCTAAATGTTGTGGTCTTGTCTCTGTCTCGCCCTACCTAGGTCTTGGTCTCGACTAGGTGTCTATCTGTAGATGTCCTGGTCTTGGTCTCGACTCTGTCTCGGAGCACTCTGGTCTTATGTCTTGGTCTCCGTTAGTGTGGTCTTGACTACAACCCTACAATCAAGTTACGTCACTGCAGGTATGTTTTTCTTTTGACAGGTGATTGGACTCATTACTACAGTCACACTCACCACATAGCTTTAGTCAAATCCAGGTTTACTTAGCATTCACACCCTGAAGCTCACTGTAGATGGCATTAAGAGGATGAAGGTTTACTCTACAGGTCCTGTAAAGCAGGTTTTTACATTGAGTAGAGCACTTCACAGTTTGGGCTGGAGGCTTAAAAAGTCACCAGATGTAAATTCAAATATTTAGAGTTGTCTCTGCCAAACAGGTACAACGAAACTTAAATAACTTACAAGATAATCCAGGATACATCAGTCAAGCACAGACCGTGTATTCACACGTTGACCTGTAAAAAAGTCAAATGACTTCAAAATATATATGTCATTGGAAAGCAATCATTCCCATTCCCACTAAGTTTGATTGCCACATTTGATATCGATATAAAAGTCTGAGTGATGTCACCCGTTGGTTACTGCAGAGGGCTTAGGAAGCCTGACGATGGCGGTTGCCATGCTTGCAGTGCTGTCTCAACCTAACTTTGAGTCAACCTAACTACAGGCAAAGAGCTGGAGCTGAGGTGAGTTGTAAGCCTCCTGATAAACACCGCCGTCGGAGAGGGCTGATTGCTCGGCATTCAATCAAACATCTCCACATTTGACCCTCTCATTGAGATTAAATATTGCATTGATGCTGGTCTGCAACTTAACATCGTTTTCATCATTTTCAACAAATCATTGATATTTATGAATGTATATCGTTGTTATCTTAAACTTTCACATCTAGCAGTGAAAGGCATGACAATCAAAATCAAGGACTTAAGGGTGACAAGTCCAAATAGTTTTCTTCTAAAACCCTCTTAACCCCAAAAAAAGTTGGGATGTTGGGTAAAATGAAACATGAAATCCTACATGAAGCAAGGATTTTAGAACGTTCCACTTTCATCATCACGCTTACAGAGTGTTGTTAGAAGACGAAGTGATGCAACAGAAGGGTAAACATGAGCCTGTCCCAACTTTCTGCGAAACATGTAGCTGGCATCAAATTCAAAATGAGCACACAATTTCCAAAAACAGAAAAATGTCTCCGTTTCAGCTTTGGATATGATATGTTGTCTTTGTGCTATTTTCACTCCGATATGTGAGGTTTCATCACGTTCTGTTTTCATTTTCATTTTAACCCATCATCCCAACTTTTTTTTGGTAAAGGGGGTTCTAGTAGAAAACTAGACCAGTTCGACCGAGACATGGCACAATAAATTAAGCGGCATCTGCACTGCCAGCAGGGGGCCAGCGCCATGTACCACTCATACTGTATTTTACTCCAGAATCGCCAATCTTCCACCACCATAATTCAGATGTACATTAGTCCCAGTGTACTTGCTTTACTGCCTTAAATGTGTACTTTATTTCTTTGTTGACAATGTGAGTAAACATATTAAATATGTTTATATTGTCCTTTTTTTCATGTAGGCTATGTTGAACGTCTAATTGTCTGGTATCTCTGTGATGACTGTAAAGTCATTTCATATACATTCCATTTCCAATGATTCAGCACCAATCTAACCAAAGAAACCTGAACTTTATGATGAAGAAATTCCATCACTTGATAACATTTGAATACCTTGAAGTTAAATTCCAAAGCTGTTTTTGAGACTGTGTTTGTCTTCATGCATAGGTTCTTATGATATAACAATCACTGCTACTCACCCCACTCGGTGAGGAACTCAGCAGCGTATCTGTAGATGAGGTTCAGAATCTCGATGACCACGGCGTAGATGATGCTGGGGATGTACAAGAGAACTTCGGTCCAGAATGTGGGCTCCTCAGCGTGGACCGACAGCGCCCACCCCTCCATCAGAAAGTAGATCATCATGATGTAGAGGGACACGTAGAGGCAGAGCAGGACGAAGGGCACCGACACAAGGTAGACTCTCAGCTGCCTCTTGACGTTGGGGTAGACCGGCTCCTCGCGGCCCGTCACAGGGTTGAACCCTAGGACGCCGTGGAAACCGGGCCGAGGCTCTTCAAAGGCCTTCTTCCTGCTCAGCGTGCCCCATCGGTAGGCTAGTGAGGCGCTGCAACGCTTCCAAAACTGGAGAAGGGAAAGATTCAAGTACTCAAATAGAGTTTTTATTTTGGTATGATACCGTATATCATACTCCTTTCCTGCACTATTTGTTAGAAACTGATTACACTCCATAACTTATGATGTTGTAAAAACAAAATTTGAAATCATTTGCTCGTCCTGTGCAGATCGCCATGACGATTATTTGGAGGACTGAAAACATCTCCCTCCACTCAATATATGAGCAGTCTGTTCTTAGGAAAGAATAGAGTGTAAAGCTTCTAGAGCTGCCTGTCAGTGCCCGACAGATGTTCATGTATAAGATAATCTTGATATTGATGTAAAACCCAGAGGCCTCTACAGATAAATTCTTCATAATGGGTCATGGGTCAAACTTTTTTTTACTCGTGTTTTGTAAGAACTGGAAGCAGGTCGAGAAACCGTTCATACCTCCAGGATAACAGTGCACCACACCAAGTTGAATGCAGCAAAGATGACATATTTATCGTAGTCCTCCCAGTCGAACAGGTAGTAAGGCACTCCGATGAGAGCCATAGGCATCAGGGCAAAGGTGAAGTACTCCAGGAAGCCAAAGTAGAGGGCCTGACCCTCCCCGTAGTAGTGTCGGATTTCATCTGGTGGTGAAAGTGGAGAAGGAAGTAGTGGGTAGATGATGCATACATGGAAACTTTATTATACAACACCATTTCCCAAAAAGTTGGGACATTGTTTAAAATGCGAATGAAAACCGAATTTGGTTCAAACATTGTAATCCCATATTTAATTTGAATTAGCACAAAGACAACATGTCCAACAGAAAAAGACTGAAAACCCATGCTAGCAACATGTTTCAAAACAGGTTATGCACATTTTAGGCCTGCATGATATTAGCAAGTTTGTGTACTTTGTTCACTTTTCTATAACAAAAGTAAGTATGGTGAATCAAAATGAAAGAGTGCATGTTTGCTATAGTTCACAGACTTAATTAGTACTTCTTCTACTTACCTAACGGCTGCAGGGACAACTTCACCCTTTTGTACCAGGAGAACGAAAGTCTCTTGAGTTCCTCATTCTCATGGAGAGGGAAAATTTGGATCAGGATCCCTTTGGACTGCAGTCTGCGGACTAGAACGTAACAAAACATTTTGACTTACGTTTTTCTGCCATTAATAAACTTAATTTAAAGTTCAGCCGGGCGTTAACTTTCAGAACGTTGCATGATGGTCTGCCGTTACAATCCTTTTTTTAAAGCCCAAAAATAAATAAAAAAGTGTGGCACACAAACATCTCCCATGTCAAGTCCCATCACTCAGAGGTTGTCGACATACACAGTATAAAACATGGACGTAATCATAGTGACATCACTCATTGATTGCTGAAGCAGAGTATTCCCTGCTGTCCTTGACCAATGACGCAGACCCGTCCAAGTACAAAGCGCTCTCCTGAGACTTTTCCAAAAACTGACTTCAGCCTAGACACATGCAAAAAGGTGGAGGTGAGGCAGGCCTTTAGTTTCCTGTCAAACAGATACAACTCCCTCCAGTCAGTCAGATCAGCTGCGCCACTAATTATGGAAAACTTAAGTTATTTCCACCAACTTTTTGTTTTCTTAAACCAGGCTGTAAATATATTTTAATTAGGTGATCAAAATGGGCATTTAAACATGTTAAACATGTGTTAAACGGACTTCCAGTATAGGCAGCCTCAAGTAGACAGTCGAAGAACTGCAGCTTTTTTTGCACATCAACATTGGCTTCATTTTTAGCCCAGCTTGGTTCTCATCCAAAAATCATACAGCACCTACCACAATATGATGACATCATCAAATAGGTTTAACGTGATGAAGCGTAAGATGGAAGTCTTAGCGTTCATCTTCAAAAAGACAGAAGGCGTCACTTTTTGAAATCTATATTTAAGATCAATTTGTACAGGATTATGCAAACTAAGACACTCCATGGCTGCATGTCCATTCTCATAGAGATATTCATACCATCCATGATGAATAAAAATATTGATCCAGTAGGGAGCTGGGTGAAGCTTTTACTGCTCAAGGTCTGAATTATTTGCAAGATGTCTCACTTAGTTTTGAGTGACATGAAAACATCCTCGCTGCATTTTCATCCCTTACTGTTGTTCGTCTGAACACTACCAACCGAGTAAACATGCAGCTTCATTTTTTAAAGACAAGGACAGGCAAACAATAGCTGGGAGCCAGCCATTGTGTTCAGTACAATTTCTATAGCAATAATCCCTATTGTCTAATACGGAATGACTAAATACAATCACATGAAAGCTCTATCATTTCATCTGCAGTTTTTCTTTTTGAGTGCATCATTTGTCCATAATGATTACATTCTGCTTTAACACGGTTTTTCAAACACAAGCGCTGAATAGAAGCACACTATCTCCGACTGCGACTTCATTTCTTCCTTATCTTACATTGGGAATATTTCTCTGCATTTGCATATTGATTGTTTCCATACTGCAGCCACAGAGAGAGAGAGAGAGAGAGAGAGACGGAGGTAGAGAGGCAGCGGTGGGGGAGACATGCTGTGTTCAGGCTGCTCCCAAAGAGAGGGGGAGGAAGAGTCGTGCTGCTTTATTGTCTTGCAACTTCAGAATTTACCTACTACAAAATAAAAAAAAGTACCTTTGGAGGTAAACAACCAAATGTGACAAAACAGCTCATAAAATATTCAAACTTTCTGACAAGCTAAAAATGAAGAAAAAAAATCATCTGCAACAGAGAGAGGGACTTTTGCATTAATTCATTTTAACCTCCGGTTAAATGTACTCCTGATTAGCTATTGTTCTTGTTAATTGGTTACTATTTGTATAATGCTTCCAATAATTAGCATGAGTAATTGGTGCCTATTCACTCAGCAACATTAGCTCTGGGGTCAGATATTAAAGTGATTCATTCAGAGCAGGATTCAACAACTATTTTCATTTTCAATTAATCTGTTAGTTAAACTGACAATGTATGGTTTGTTCTATAGTATGTCCAGGAAATGTGAAAAAATAGCTATTACAAATCAATAACTTTAAATTGCTTTTCCAAAAAACTGACCAAAACCGAAAGACGTTTAATATATAAAAAAGAGCAGAAAATCGTGGCCGTCTGAAGGACAGTTCTGTGGAATGTTTTACAATAATGTAGTAGGTGTAAAACGCTCCATATACCTTTGAGTCATTACATTTATTGGCCTGTTTTTATTTCTAAATGACTGAGTGAGAGGCGGATAAAGTCTTACCGATAGATTTCCCGGGATAGAGCTTGGCCGAGTCGTGTCCCGGTACATGCGTCTCATCTTTGGCTCTTAAAGTGTCCAGCTCGTGCTTGATGATGTGCTGACACTCGGCCATGCTGAGGAAGCTGTCTCCGTCCCCTGGAGAGACAGAGAACATCGGACACAAACGTCAAACACAGTTTTCACATAAAAGGTGTGTTAGATAACACTTCATCAGCTCAGAGGTGGCAACAGCGTGGCCACCACAGTCCAGTCGAGGGCTGGACAATATGTCTACTTCTTAAAGACATATTGATAGATTTTTGAATGAGATAAAGTGTAATTAAATCAACTCGGTCTTTCCCTGATCCTAGGGAAGCTTATTCATGCCTTTGTCTTTTCACGTTTGGACTCTATTTTTTTAAACAACTTTTAAAACACAACACGGTTCTAGCCCCCCCCCCCCTTACATTACAGAACTTTTAACCCCTTACGCTCCAAGCCGAGCTCTTAGATCATCAAGAGCACCTTTATTAGTCGTTCCTAGATCTAGGCTGGTTACCAAGGGTGACCAGGCATTTGCCATCAGAGCCCCTAAGCTCTGGAACTCCCCACCCAGAGAAATTAGGCTGGCAAACTCTGTTCCTATTTAAATCCTTGCTCAAAACACATTTTTATAAGAAGGCCTTTTTAACGATTGATTAGTAACTCATGTCTGCTTTAATTACATCCATTTTTATTCATATTTATTTTACTCCAATGTTTATCCTGTGTATTTTGTGAAGCACTTTTAATGTATTTTTTTTATTTTGCTTGATTGTATGGATTCTGTAAAGCACTTTGTAACTTGTTTAGATAAGTGCTATATAAATAAAGTTATTATTAATATTATTATTATATAATATTAAGACAATATAGTTCATAATGATATAGTTTATGTTTATGTTGAGGACTATTTCTCCTCTCACAGTCTGTTCCTCTTCACTCTGCTCCACCTCTCTCCCCTCTCTGAACAGATTCAGGATAGGAACATATGTTTCCTTTGAACTTGGACGGGTTTAGACTTGAACTGACTTTGTTTTTTCTTGACAAAATTTTCTTCCTGCAATATAGAACATGTATCCCCATTCAGCTTAAAAACATATCAAAAAAGGAATTTTCATCCATATCACCCAGTCCTAGTCTAGTCAGTCAATTACAAAAAGTTCAGGACTGGCTCTAAGAGTGAAAGTTTTCTAAAGTTTCTTCAAATCTGTTTATGTTAACTTTTCAGCAAGTTCAATTCATGCACATTTCTGCACCCATGTATCAGCTGAACATTGATATCAGCCCTGCTGACAAACAGCGACCATCTGCACATCATGTGCCTTGCACCAATGTCAGAAGCCGAGGTGTATCTGTTGAGAAGAGGTGTTTTATCTGGCTGAACAAGTCACCCCCTCCGTTTATATCATAGTGAAGTTGATACTGTAAATGTGTCCAGCAATTCATGACATTGATATGAAGGTAAAAACTTGCATAGTGGGGGCGTCGTTAGCCTAGCCATCAGAGCTCTCGCCCCATGTTACTGAGGCTTAATCCTTAAGAGGTATCCACTGTCCTATCTCTAAAAAATGTAAAAAGCAAACAAAGACCCCAGACCTGGCAGACACCGCCTTGTCCACAGGGGAAAATTCCTCCTAGCTTCATGCAGCCCCTCCTCCTGAACTCTCTACCTTCAAAGTCTTTGAAGTTGTGTTTGTTAGCGCAGGTGAAGCCTCTCATGGATCCATCTTTGTACTCCCTGAAGAGTCCAATTTCCTCAGCGCCAGCGAGCAGCTCTGCCACGAAGCCCCGATCAGGAACATGTTGGGGTTTTCTTTCTCCTCGGCCACTCCGAGGCCCATCTGCTCCACCAGCAGCTCAGCACCTGGTGGGAAGCATTTGGATAAATAACAAGAAACATTGAGGCTGTAGAGAAGAAGATCTGCTTTGATTTTCCCCACCTCCATTCTGTTGTCTGTCTCTTATCCTGCTCAGCAGCCATGCAATGGTCTCCTGGTTGGTGTCAGGGGCCAGCTCCGCCACCACCAGAGGAGTAAACCTGGAGCCACTTCCGTCTACTGATGATTCCTGCAGCATCTTCTCCACTCACAGGACTCCTGTGCCAAAACAAGAAGGGAGAAATAAAAGCCAGAGAAAATGTCCTCAGAGGGAAAGACAGGGTTTTATTCAACAGCTGATATTTTTATGTTTACGGAGCACTTTTTTAATATTTCCTGGGTTCTTTGGTTGTATCTTCATGAAGAGACTGAGCAGGATGCATGGTTTTCAAAATTACTAGTTGTCTTTGAGTAAGAATTTTGCACATTACTGTATGTCTGGCTTTGCTATCAGGGAAAAGTTCACACTCAGTAAAACTGTCTGATAGGCTTACAGGAGCTGCTCGACCACAGTATGCAGTACACCCAGCAACAGGCTGATTTTACATGTTTTATTGCTCAAACGATCTCATGTACGAGGTGGATGACTCTGTTCCACATCTATGAACTGTAGGCGAAGCAGCCTGGAGAACAGAGAGTCTACTGACAGAAACAGCTGATCGACCATCAGAGCCAACACACACACACACAGAGAGAGAGAGAGAGAGAGAGAGAGAGAGAAAGGGAGGGGCCTTTTGAAGCAGGGACACGAACAACTAACAGAGGCTTGAGTTGAAAAGTATCGCCGTAACTAATCTGCAGAACTGAGGGTGAGGAAGGTTTCTGTGTGCTCGGTACTCACCCAGATCTGTGTCCGTGTGTCTCTGCTGCAGCCGGGAGGTGGCGGGGGGGCCGAGAGCTGATCTGAGAGCAGTCAGATTAGATGGTTACCGACATGTCTGCGCAGCCTGACAGGAGCTGCACAGCGGTGAACTTTAGTTCAGTTACACGTCACGAAGCGGCGCAGTGAACTTCATCTGTCACACCCACCAACGTTACCGACAGTCCTCCTTTGTGGACGTCATGAATCAGTACCTACTCGAGCCCTCTTTGACTTAAACTTGCGACATTTTTTTTTCTCTAAGTAGTAAAAAATAGCGATCGACGAGGGAGAGAAGTCTATTGAGCCTTATGATCCGAAATCTCGAGAACAAAGTTGAATTTTCAATATTAGTGGCATGATTTAAAAAAAAAATAATAATCAGAGAAAAATTAAACGATAGGCTAGACCAGTGGTTCCCAAAGTGCAGGTCGGGGCCCCCTGGGGGGTCGCGAGAATTGTTCCAAAACATATTAAAATGAAAAACTACCTAAATTTACATATTTTAACCATTATTGTACAAAAAAATATATATATACAAAAATAAAGTATTTCAAGAGATGACTTATGTTCTACATCTAGCATTTCTTACAATTCATTTCTAAAATACTGTTACAGTGTTGAGGCTGTTGTATTCTTTAGTGGTGCTCTAATCCCAGTGTTGAATAGACTTAAGTGTGCCTGGTTGTGTGCAACAGTAAATGTTTTAACCACCTCCACAGACAGTGAGGGTCCCCAGTCTCTAGCGCCCATTTTTGGGGGTTATGTGCTGAAAACTTTGTGAACCCCTTTAATATACGACGATCAAGACAATATTTTTTGATGAATCTGCTCAAATAAATAGCCTATAAGAATTATAAATTTTGTTTTGCTTAAATTCAATGTTAGCTTATTTTCATCAACCAGATCTTCATCCTCTTCAATTCCTTTTCCATTGTATCCAGAAGCTGTTCCAAGTTGTCACCACAGCAGAGCAAATTTGTGTCATCAGCGAAAAGAATGGTTTTGACCGTTTGTGACACTTCACATATATCATTGATAAACAGAATGAATAGTAATGGCCCCAAAACTGAGCCCTGGGGCACCCCACATGTAACCTGCAGCAGTTGTGAGTTATAGTTTTGTATTTCGACATATTATTTCCTTTTCTGTAGGTAGCTGGATAGCCATCATGCCAGTGTTATGCCTCTAATACCATATCTTTGTAGTTTTTTAATTAATAGCTCATGACATACAGTGTCAAAAGCTTTTTTTTAAGTCCAGAAATATCCCTACCGCATATTCTTTGTTTTCTATTGCCTTAGTGACTTTTTCTATAAATTCTATTATTGCAAATGAAGTTGTTCTCTTTGCCCTAAAACCACATTGTTGCTCATACGGTACATTATGTTTAGTGATGAATTCATCCAGTCTTGTGTAAAATATTTTTTCCAGTATTTTTGAGAACTGTGGAAGCAATGAAATGGGTCTGTAGTTTGAGAGTACAGAGTATCTCCTGTGTTATGTATTGGTATGACTTTAGCTGTTTTCATTTTGTTAGATAGATAGATTTTACTGATAGAGAATTTTCACAGCACACATTTTAATCAAATTCAGGAAGGCTATAAGCGAAAAGCTGAACTAAGTGATAAGATTTATGAGTTTGGCACTTCCTCATTT